CATGGACCAATTTTGTTCTACCAGCAGAGATCCATCGACTGAGAAGTAGTGATGGACCAGTGTCATTGTGCACTGTGCCGTCACCACGTACGCCTGTGGGGCGTGGGTCACTGGCGAGAAGGGCGAGACCTCCGAAACACCGATGTATGGCCCTGGCGTACCAACATCGGTTAAGCTTCAAGCATTCTTTTTTTTTTTGAAATCATTTTGAATAGCGTTACCATTAGTTCCCAAGACCGACTGTCTATTAACCTCGGCATGCTTCAGTATGATTCTTGATTTTCTTCTTTGAGCAGAACACGAGGTGTTACATTAAACTTTATTCGATAGCTGACGTTTCGGCAGTTCGCCTTCTTCAGAGCCTGGAAAGGTCAAAATGTTTGCAATACAATCAGTCAAACACCTCCATTACTTCTTTAGAGAAAATCACCAGACCTAGATTTCAATCGCATCAAGCAAAAATCAACACTTAACATACTCACCGCTTTTTATATGTGTTCCACTGGATGATCCAAGTGGAGATCACCGGCAAGAGAGACACATAGGCTCGTAATGCACCCTACCCATCAAAACAACAGTCTTATATACTGGCTCATATCACGAGTGTTTACAAGGCATTCCTCCCTGCGGTTTATGGTTGGATTGGTCGTATTAATCCAAAATGCTTCCAAGATCTTTCGCGCTGATGTTTTTTGCTCCTGCGCAAGGATGGTGACCTCGATTTCAAAATCAAACTCCGTCGTGCTTCTGTGCTCTATGCGTCCCTAGCGGGGTGTTTTGTCTATTAAGACGCTTGTCAGCTAGGTGTTCTTCTATGCGTGCATAGAGCGGCCTACCCGTTTCGCCAACATATTTATCACTACACGCTTTGCAAGAGATTAGGTAGACTGTACCTACGCTCATGCAATCACCGTCTCTGCCGTTAGGACATATTTTACAATCATTCATCATACAGAGACGGTCATATAAGCGGTTGCGAACTAGTTGGCGTTTTAGAGTATTCGGTGGTATTTCAATAATGGCCACCGATTGCTCTAAGCCCGCTCTTTTCAAACATCGTTTTATAGCTGTACTAACCTCATTTGAATAGAACGGGATGATAAACGGGACTTTCCTTTCAACTAAGTTTTCGTTCGGAGGCGCATTATTTCCTCTAAACCTAAGCCGAGGGGCTACGAATTCGTATCCATTAGAAGTGGCTATTTCCCGCGCCAGTTTCACGGATTCTACTCTCTGCTCCTCCCCAGTACATACGCTGGCTGCTGTTCGAAACATGTTCTTTACTAGCGCCTTTTTCGTATGTGAGGGATGAGAAGAGAGATAGTGAACCAAGATATTCTTACTACTTGGCTTTCGGTACCACTTCGTTATGTAGCCGCTCTCAGTTAAGCTTATTTGCACGTTCAAGAATGGAAGCCAATCGTCTTTGGTATCTCACGGGTGAATCTTATATACTCTGACTGTTCATTCAGCAATCTAAAACAATCATCCAGCTCCTCTTGAGTGGAACAGATAATCAAACAATCATCTATATACCTACAGTAGAGTAATGGCCGGAGATCCATCACTGGTGCTTCCACTTTAGACATAAAGGCAATGGCCAGGCTAGGTGCCAGTCGCTGTCCCATTGCCAGCCCTCTGGTTTGAGCATAATAATTCCCGGACCATCTGAAGATTGAGCAGTTCAAGCACTCTTTTAGTAGGATCATGAACTGCTCAATCGTCAAGCCATACATGTTTACAGCTTCCTGGTGTTGTATAAGAAGCTCATGTGTGGCTTGCAATGCGGAGTCATTCGACACGTTGGTATATAAAGCAGTAACGTCGAATGACTCCATTACGTACGCGCTGTTCGGGTTCGCGTTACGTAGACGATCCAGGAACATCTGAGTGTTTGTCAGATGGGCTGGAATGTGTCCTAGCAACTGGGATGTTATTAAAGTCAAGAACCATGCTATCCTATCCGTCGGTCCGCCTACACAACTGATGATAGGTCTAACTTTGAATATAGATGGATCGTTAGACATCAGATCATCAGTGGATACTAACTTATGTGTTTTTATAAGCAAGTATAAGACAGGACATGTTGGTGACTGGATTTTTAATTGAGAAATGATAGATGGTCTTAAGCCTGCCGCTTTTGCCGTACGGACCCACTCACTGTTTAATTTGCGGTTTTGCCTTTTGAATTCCTTTACAGAAGATGATCGGTAAAGCGAGGCATCCTCGAGATGCTTGCTCGTTATTGCGATATCTAACTGTCGAGGAATCACAACAAATTCTCCACCCTTATCACTAACTGATAGCCTTATCCTACCTTCGCTTATCAAATTCATTCAAAGTTAGACCTATCATCAGTTGTGTAGGCGGACCGACGGATAGGATAGCATGGTTCTTGACTTTAATAACATCCCAGTTGCTAGGACACATTCCAGCCCATCTGACAAACACTCAGATGTTCCTGGATCGTCTACGTAACGCGAACCCGAACAGCGCGTACGTAATGGAGTCATTCGACGTTACTGCTTTATATACCAACGTGTCGAATGACTCCGCATTGCAAGCCACACATGAGCTTCTTATACAACACCAGGAAGCTGTAAACATGTATGGCTTGACGATTGAGCAGTTCATGATCCTACTAAAAGAGTGCTTGAACTGCTCAATCTTCAGATGGTCCGGGAATTATTATGCTCAAACCAGAGGGCTGGCAATGGGACAGCGACTGGCACCTAGCCTGGCCATTGCCTTTATGTCTAAAGTGGAAGCACCAGTGATGGATCTCCGGCCATTACTCTACTGTAGGTATATAGATGATTGTTTGATTATCTGTTCCACTCAAGAGGAGCTGGATGATTGTTTTAGATTGCTGAATGAACAGTCAGAGTATATAAGATTCACCCGTGAGATACCAAAAGACGATTGGCTTCCATTCTTGAACGTGCAAATAAGCTTAACTGAGAGCGGCTACATAACGAAGTGGTACCGAAAGCCAAGTAGTAAGAATATCTTGGTTCACTATCTCTCTTCTCATCCCTCACATACGAAAAAGGCGCTAGTAAAGAACATGTTTCGAACAGCAGCCAGCGTATGTACTGGGGAGGAGCAGAGAGTAGAATCCGTGAAACTGGCGCGGGAAATAGCCACTTCTAATGGATACGAATTCGTAGCCCCTCGGCTTAGGTTTAGAGGAAATAATGCGCCTCCGAACGAAAACTTAGTTGAAAGGAAAGTCCCGTTTATCATCCCGTTCTATTCAAATGAGGTTAGTACAGCTATAAAACGATGTTTGAAAAGAGCGGGCTTAGAGCAATCGGTGGCCATTATTGAAATACCACCGAATACTCTAAAACGCCAACTAGTTCGCAACCGCTTATATGACCGTCTCTGTATGATGAATGATTGTAAAATATGTCCTAACGGCAGAGACGGTGATTGCATGAGCGTAGGTACAGTCTACCTAATCTCTTGCAAAGCGTGTAGTGATAAATATGTTGGCGAAACGGGTAGGCCGCTCTATGCACGCATAGAAGAACACCTAGCTGACAAGCGTCTTAATAGACAAAACACCCCGCTAGGGACGCATAGAGCACAGAAGCACGACGGAGTTGATTTTGAAATCGAGGTCACCATCCTTGCGCAGGAGCAAAAAACATCAGCGCGAAAGATCTTGGAAGCATTTTGGATTAATACGACCAATCCAACCATAAACCGCAGGGAGGAATGCCTTGTAAACATTCGTGATATGAGCCAGTATATAAGACTGTTGTTTTGATGGGTAGGGTGCATTACGAGCCTATGTGTCTCTCTTGCCGGTGATCTCCACTTGGATCATCCAGTGGAACACATATAAAAAGCGGTGAGTATGTTAAGTGTTGATTTTTGCTTGATGCGATTGAAATCTAGGTCTGGTGATTTTCTCTAAAGAAGTAATGGAGGTGTTTGACTGATTGTATTGCAAACATTTTGACCTTTCCAGGCTCTGAAGAAGGCGAACTGCCGAAACGTCAGCTATCGAATAAAGTTTAATGTAACACCTCGTGTTCTGCTCAAAGAAGAAAATCAAGTTACCATTAGTATTAGCGATCTGCGTCGATTGAACTCCTGGTAAGGTAAATGCTTTTACACTTTTATGTGCAACTATTTCGAACAATGACTCAATAAAATTGTATCTCCAACAACAGAATAAATGGAATAGTCAGCTAATTGGAGAATTACTATGATATCTTTATATTCATGTTTATACAATGTAACAGAGAGTAATAGAGCGCTGTTAGCGGACAAATTTCTTCCTAACTCATCGGCATTTTGCCAAACCAAACCCTTCCTACCATAAACATAGGGGCACCAGTTCTCATATGTTATTGTGCATTCTAAACTACACACCATCCCTTGGTATGTTTACATATTCGACAGGGCGGATTGGCTTACTATTTACATTCGAAAAAATGCTGCATTTATGTTTTGCTGAAATTACTGCATACTGTATCCGAGCCATCTGTAATTATGCTTATTTCATTATTTTCGCAGTCTTTTGAATTATATGTATGCATCTCTACCAAAATCTTTACATAATGTGCTAAATCTGATGAAACTGAACACTCTACATTGAGCCCAAGAAAAATGTGGGTAATCTTAGAGAAATCCCCTTTAGCTGACGCAAGATGGTCATCAGTTGTTGCTGTTCTTGCAGTAGTTTTCGCTTGAGGACTAAGGTTCCAAAAAATGTTCTTGAATTTTTACTGTGGTATCCTTGAATTTGAAGCCGTTTGGGTGGACAATAGAGAGCGATAAGCTTAGCGCGAATCGCAAAGAGGGGCACAATTTTTTCTATTAGATTAGGTTTTTTTTCGTCTTGAGAAGATGCTGAGATTCTCGTTTTGATAATCAATAGAAATTCTGTATATTTGACCGCCTCTAGTGGTGATAAGATGTTATAATATATCCGACGATAAAGAGTGATGTGCAAAAACATTTGCGTCAGACCTACATACGAACGAGCGTTGGTAGTACAACGGTTCAGCACACTCCCCAGATAGGGTGAAATGTGGGTTCGAGTCCCAACTGACGCTAATGTTTTTGCACATCACTCTTTAACATTTGAGTTTTCGTTTTACTTTGATATGTCACCGTTAACTATACAGCTCATGCACTTTTGGAGCATATATAGTTCTTATGTTTGGAAATACATTAGTTTACTTTGCAAGCGTGCTTATTTTGCATTGCAGATGTAATGAATTCTACAGAAAAACGTGACAGCATAAATTTTTACATTTTGACATTTCCATTATATACAATACTCATAAGTTATCACAGCGACTAAGCATTATCAAAAAAAAAAAATGATTAGTTGATTAAAAATGATGATGCATAGTGCATACGATACTTCATTAATAGCTCTCGATAATTTATAGCTTATTCGTGAGCTTGAAGAGCTGGCACCTGTACAGAGTTATATAACAGACTTCTTTCTATTGTTTTACGAATTTTCGTTTTTTCTATTCACTTATACTTTGCTATAAACATTATTCGTCGTTGTGACCTTTACCACTGCACATGCCCATTGATTTTTCCTGCTCTACGTATTATTTTAGTTGCCCTCAAAACGATCTCTTGTACCTCCCTCTATTTCCAACCTATCAAAATGCTTCAAAGTATTACGTGTAGGTGGTTGTGGCTGCCCACTACTGAACCAACACCTGGTCCTCCCAATTGCATCCCATAGGTATTCTCTTGCACTTTCACCGCTTGGATATACTGACTTTGATGCTTCTACGAATTACTCATAGTTCATATGTGCGAAGAAAAGTCGAATACCTTAAAGTTGTGGAAGAACTTTATGCGAAAAGCCACAGGCGCTTATAGGTGAATTAATATTGCTAGTCATTTGTTCATAGCTGTCACTCGGCATTCACTGTCTTCGGAGGCCCGCCTTCGCAAGACGTCAACTGAGCAAACTGCGTGACATTTGATATTCCCAAGCTACAAAGAAAAAAACTTTGGAACACCAGCCAATATTGCACTGTGTTGTGCTCAATCACATCAAAAGGAGGATGAAGAGAAAACCGTGAGTGGTCAAAGAAGATTTCGTCGCCCTGAAACCTAACTTTGATAATGAAGTGAGATGTTCCAGGAAACGCAGTTCTAAGGTGTGAGGAACCAGTCGACCTCTACGAACTGTATATGCCTTGTATTTGAGAGATAATTGCAGAACAGACAATTATCTACAGCGAGAAGAACGTCTGAAAAAAGTCACAATGTGACCCACGGACTAGAGTGCGATGAACAGGTTGAGAGGCTATCAGGGTTCATTATGACGACTCAAACCATACATGGTAACTCACAGCTCCAAAAGCTCACTCTCAATGATGGATGTGGGAGTCTCCCAGTGGACAGTGCCATAACGATGCAGACCAAGTCTCTGTAAATCGAAGGTTTTTGCCTGACCAATATCGTTGTTGCTCGTAAGTTCTACATGGGATCAGACCATTGGCCCCTTCGCACAACGTTCCGTTTTTCGCGGAAAAGAGAGAAAGCCGCTAAATTCAAACAATGAAGTCGCAGAAGTGTCATATACTGGAATGTATTCAAATCATTAGTCGGCTTTTGGGTGGATACCGTTGTCGACAACATCAACGAAGACGGCGACCGGCTCGTTGTATCTTCACGTTAACGCTATGAAAGCGAAAGTCCTAAAGTCACGAAGAGACGCTTGTTTCCGCAGACACTCGAGCTGATACGTCAGTGTGGAATCGCACAAGCTACAAGCAACCGAAACCCAAACGTCCGAACTTGCGGAACGCTGCAGAGAAGCTATAAAAGAAGACGTCAAAGAGAGACGAGCAGCAGTTATGGCAAAAGCTGCAAAAGCTGCAGAAGCTGGAAAGAGTAATCGCAAAGCCCAGCAAGGCTTCGCTAATTACATGACCAAGATGATTGCACTCCGATGCTCTGACGGAACACTTACAGCATCCAGAAGGACAATGTAGAAAGTTATTCACCAGTACTACTCGGATCTCTTCGCTAGACATCTCCTCTTACCCTCATATAAATTGAAAGAGGACATATATGTCGTTCCACCGGTCCACCCTTCAAAATCCGACATGCCATGTCGTCGTGAAGAACAGAACGATACCCGGCCCAGACAGGATTAGACCAGAGCACCTGAAGAACCTGCCGACAGTTCTCATCAGCACTCTGGCTCGGCTCTTCACTCACTACCTGTCAGAATGCAAGGTCCCCATTCAATGGAAAACTATCAAGACCGTATTGTTGTTCAAAAAGGGAAACCTACACGACATAGGCAATTATTGCCCAATCTGCTTGCTGTCCTTTGTCTAAAAAGTCTTTACTCGAGTCATCCTAAACAAGATTGACAGAACACTAGACGAAGGACGACCGTGCGAGCAAGCAGGGTTCCGCATAGGATTTACTACCATAAATCACATCAACGCGATTGCAAGACACATGGAAGCTTTACGAGAGTACAAACTACCGCTCTGTCTCACTTTCCTCGATTTGAATTAAGCCTTTGATTTAGTGGAAACAGAAGCGGTTGCAGGGGCTCTGGATAAGCAAGGTGTCCCTACTCGGTGCATAATGATCCTTCGTGAGCTTTATAAAGATTTCACGACCAAAATATCGCCATTCCACAACAATATCACCATTGACGTAAGAAAAGGGGTTCGACAAGGCGATACAAAATTGCCAAAATTAATCACTCTCACCTTCCAAAACGTCATGCGAACATTAGAATGGGGCGATATGGGAGTGAAATTGACAGTCGTCAATAAAAACCATCTTCGCTTTGCTGATGATATTGTCCTCATAACACCATGCATCAGCTAAGCGGAACGAATGTTGACCAATTTCGACGACGCCTGTGGAAAGATTGGCCTCTAAACTAAATTTAATGAAAACGATGTTCACGAGGAACGGATGGGTTTTGAATGCCTCGTTCACGCTCAACGAAACGAAAACCTCCGAATGCTTCAGTTACGTCTATTTAGGTCGTGAAATCAACGTGATGAACGACCTAGCTCCAGAGTTGAACAGGAGGAAACGAGCGGCTTGGGGAACGTTTGAGAGCATCGATTATGTGATGAACACAACGTAGAACACCGATTCCGTGCCCTTTTTTCGACTTGACGATTATCCCTGCCCTAACGTATGCAGCAGAAACCTGGTCTCTACGTAAGCGGGATGAAAAATCGCTGGGCATGGTTGAGTGCGCTCGCAAAAGGTCGATGTTAGGAGTGTCCCTTATTTCACACATGATGGAAAGGATCCGAAGTTGCAATCTGCGTCAACGACTAGATTAGAGATACACACTCCAGGCCAGCGAAAATAAGATGTGCCGGACACGCACTGCGCTTTAGCGACGACCGATGGACTAGAGCCGTAACCTGCTGCTTCTCGGAATGTCAAAAGCATTGAACATTACCGATTTTATCGTGTGGTTTCTTTACATCAAGCCTGGGAGAAAGATATGATATTGAACGACTTCTTAGAGAGAGGAGAATCCAATGGGCTACTCTCGCACGCAATAGCGAAAAGTGAAAGTATTGGTGGTGCCTGCTCGAGTCACTCGACGATGAACGATACGATAGTTGATACAGGTGATATATATATATATATATAATATATAATATATATATATATTTATATTTATAATGATGCAATGCAAGATCATATCATTAGTCTAGCTATTACTTTTGTTTTTGGCTGTTTTTTAAAAAATTTCGCTCAAAATAGTATGTAATCTGATAACATATTATAAGCCTATTATGAGGCTTTCTAGGGCACTTCTATAGTGCTAGATACGTGTTTCGGCCTTTCAGGCTCATCAGTAGCGCGGTGCGTTTCGCTTCAAAGTGTCACATGTAAAGGAGTATGTCCCTTGCATATAAAGGAATCGACGAAGAAGAGCTTACACTGCTCGCGTAATGTGATAAAGTCATCCGTCGTACAGTGTTTTACAGTCGATCGCGCGTGGGTGATAAAACGTATACTGCAATACATTTTTTTCTCGACTGATTTTTGAAACCTCATGGGAGACAATATGTAATCTGATATCGTATCTTGAGCCTTTCATAATTTTGTTGTGAGATTTAGATGATGCTAAAGACGTGTTTCGGCCTTCCCAGCTTCATCACTAGCATTTTGCTTTTCGTTTCAGCCAACCTCGTGACTCAAAACCTCACTCATATTGTAAATGAACGCTTTCGCCTAGAGGTTTTTGATTATTGCTCAGGTACTCTTATACCAACTCAAAATCCTCACGACCATGCCTTTTTGTCCTATGCGGATCTAGAGTACTTGTCTGACTTTTCGACATTCCACCCAGCCGCTTTTTTATGCAGACAAAGAGTGGTCGCCAGTTCCGTATATGTATTCATCACCACATATCCTGCAATAAAGATCTGCCATGCTGTCCGATCCCCTACGGTCTCCGTCTTACGATTTGGACAAGCTACGCAATCCTTTGTTCTACATAGACGGTCGTACAGATGATGCCGAACTGATCACCGACGTAATGTGTTAGGTGGAATTTCTAAAATTATTCCCAAGTTTCCAGACCATTGTTTCCCGGGCACCCTTTGAACAGCAGTGCTTAGTTAATTTATTGTGGAGTTTAAATAGAGTTTAGGTCTCAATTAAAGGAAAAGCACAGTTCTTTAAACAGCGAACGAGCAGGTGTGAACGATAACAAGCAGTGACTCCAACTGTGCGGCTCTTGAAACTTGTCAAGTTTTCCAAAGAATTATTCTTTGGAATTTCGAAAATTACAGACTTAAATAACAAACCAAAGATTCTCTGTACGCACACTGCGTAGAGACTAAGGATGAAGTCAGTCATAATAGTGTTTCATTATAGCATTTTCAAAGTACTCTACTGATCGAAGAACAGGCACTTCTCAACATTGCATTGTTAACCCTCTTAAAACTTGCTTGGATTTCGCAATCATTTCTTAGTAATGCTCAAGACTTCCTATTTTTTTTACTGAGCATTAAAACTGGCTTGAATTTCGCAACCACTTCTTAGTAATGCTCAATACTTCCTATTCTGTTTA